ACGTCGCGCGCGCTGCCAAGGACGGCCTGCGCTCGTGTCGCGCGACATGGGCGCTACAGCGAGAGCGCGGGCGCTGCCGTGGTTCGCGCAGTGAGGCCCGCTGCCCGGCGGGCCAGAGGCTTGGGGGTGCGCGGGGGCGGCCCACCGGCCACCAGAACGCGATCGTCGCTGGCGCGTGGTGAACGGCGTGGGAGGTTGGGCTTTCTCGTCGAGCTCACGCGCGGCGATCGACCGACAGTCAAAGGACACCTGCTGTCCTCGAAGACGGACGCCGAGGCGCTGGGCGTGGAGTGGGCGCGCGGCTGCGTGCGCGGCACAGGCGGGCCTCGGCCGCCGTGCCCGGCGCGCGCCCTTTCGGGCCAGCTTCCCGCGTTGCAGAAGAGGTTCTCCGAGCGCCGGCACGCCTGCGCCTTGGCGGGCGACCCCTATCTTTCCATGCGGAATGCGTAGTCGGCGAGGAGGTGATGATAGCGACGGTGACCATTCTGCGCGCTGCAGTCTTACTGGGCGGCCTGTTTACCGCGCCCCATGGTTCCGAGCGCGTCGGAAACCATAGTCTGAGCGAGGCCCGCGGAGGCGAAGGGGCCATGCGCGGGAGAGGCCGCGTTGGGCGCTGCGGCTCGCTCGGCGGCGCGCGCTGGCAGCGACCTCGACCTTGGGTCGGTGCTTGGTCAGGTCGCCGAGCTGCGCGGCGATTTCAGCGCGCATCGTCGCGGCGAGGGCAATTTGGAGGAGCCGGTCGACCGCGAGCTCGGAGAGCACCGCCTGCGTCCGCCTGTCACTCCACCGGGCGATTCTCGAAGCCGCCGCGCGCCAGTCGGCGGCGGGGCAGCGGCTGGCGGCCAGCGCTGCGTCGAGGGCCAGGGTCGCGGGAGGAGCTGTGATTCTGTGGTCCTTCACGCGGTCTTCATTGGGCCGCTCGTTCTCCCTGCCGCTGCGAGGACTGAGCACTGCGGCTGGGGATCCGGCGCGGCCGCGCATGCGATGGCCCCGCCTGCCCGCCGGGCCGCGTGCTTGACGCGTTTCGGGGAGTTCTCTGGCTTGCCTGACAGCGGATGCGAGCATGGGCGGGGCCTCGGGTGGGAGTCTCCGCATCGCGATCAGAGCGCCCCACTCCCAGCGCGCCCGTCGCTGGAGGCATTCGGAAGAACAGCGCCCGCGCAAGCGTTGGGCGGGGGGCGCCAATGCCGCGCGAGTTAGACATGGTGCAAGTGGCGCATGAGGCGCCCTGGGCCAGGCGCGCGAGTCATTGCATTCGCGGCACTGGTAGTTTGACAGCGGGCATGTGTGAGTCCTGGGTGGCAACGGGGTCAGGCCCCAACCGGGCGGTCCAGATCCCAACCGGGAAGAAGGCAAAAACGGTTCTGATCCCAAACGTAGGACAGATATTGTAGTGAAGCTTGTTTATTGCATGATCGTCTTGGCAAAGGGAATTGAATGGCATCCCTTCAGGGAGTTCGATCGGTTCTCCGAGCGCGCATATGGGATCTCGACCGCTCCACTGCGTTATTTGATGCGAGCTCTAAGAAGAACTCCAGGAGGGCCTGACATGGGCCCAAGGCGCTCCAACGCGGCAGCGCGTGCGTGCCAGAAAGTTCGTGCAATCCCATACGAAACGTATGCGGGACGCTTCAGACATTCATGCGTAACGCATGCCGCACGTACGCGCAACGTGTACGTAACGTCCATGACGCGTAGATGGCTTGTCTCTGGACCGCATCCGAAACGGATGCGAGACGTGCGTGAGGAACGCGTGTGTACGATGCACACAAGGAACGTATGCGGCACGAACATTAAACGCATGCGAAACGTAGACGAAGCGCACATGATTCGCATACGTACGAACCGTGTACTCAACGTACATGCTACGAACGCACAGGCGAACAGGGAACGCAACAGGCACGCTTTTATCAAAAGTAAATGTGCATGACACATCTAATCTTATAAGCGACGTGAAAGAACGTATACGCACGTGCACGAAACGCTTGTGGAACGTATGCAACGTGCATGATACAGGGATCGGCGCGTTTACTAGTGGATTCCGAAGAGGAAACACATTGAACATAGTAGAAAATCCTGCGGCAGGCTCGGATCGGCGCACTTCTCATTGAGTTTCTATGGGCAAGAGTAGAAATTCAGCCATGTAGCTGGCGGCTGGGGTCGGCGCGTTTGCATTGGGATTCTGAGACGAAAAAAGTCACGTATCCAAAAAATCCTGCAGAAGGCTGGGGTCGGCGCATTTCCAAGTGGATTCTCGATTGGAAACAAATCATGATTTGAGGCGGGGGGCTGAGATCGCCGAGTTTCCTGGAAGTCCCAATGGGGAAGACGTCGCATATTTAAAAAAATGCTGGAGGTTGGGATCGGCGCGTGCATCAGCCAATTGCGTCCGATCGGGAATGGAATGCTTTTTCAGGAGTCCCCAGGAATTCCCCGATAATCCTTTTTAGAAATATGAGCGGATCCTTCTGGAACCCTTCGGGAATCCTCACGGATGCCCCGGAATTTTGACAGGCATACGAAGGAATAGTTTGGGAACGTTTCAAGAATTGTTTTTTTTGTGGAGTCTTGTGGGATCCTTCTGGAATCCATCAGGACTTCAAGGAATCCGGAGGAATCCCTTGGGAAGCTTTCAAGGAATTTTCAGGCAGGACTGTTCGTGAAGTCTTCTGGACCCCTCGAGGAATCTTCGAAACAACCCACGGGCATCCTTCACGAAACCGAGGAGGCGCCTTCAAGGAAACATGTATGTAGCGGTTATCAACTGCTCATCGAGCGCCTATCAAGCACTTATCAAGCGTTTCAAGCGCGTAGCAACTCAAGCAACATTGGTTGGGATCTGGACCGTTCCGGTTTCTTTAATCGTTTCGCTCATTCCGCAGGCCATGTAGCCTCATCTCTGCCGTTTGGCAGTCGTTTCGGGAGTCTCTTGGAGGCAGTTTTGAAGCCTTTTGTGGTCTCTTGGGGCCGTCTTGGGGGTCTCTTGGGGGCCTCTTTTGGGCTGAAGGCTCGGATTTTCGCATCGCGTTCCCCTTCTTGGGCGCCTCTTGGGCCGTCTTGGGGGCCCCTTGGGCCGTTTTGGGCGCCTCCTGGTCGCCTCTTGGAACCGTCTTGGGCTGTCCTGGGCGCCTCTTGGGCCGTCTTGGGGCCCTCTTCGGCCGTGTTCGGCCCATTTTGGGGGCCAGTTGGGCCGTCATGGGGCGATTTTGGGGGTCTCTGGGGCAGTGCTGGACGCTCTGAACCCCCAGGAGTTGCAAATGCGAAGAATGCACGTTTAAGCATGGAAACGGGACGATTTTTGGTTGTTGAGACTCTTTTGGACGGCCTCTTGAGGCTCTCTTGGGGCTTCTTGGCGGCGGCTTGGGACGTCTGGAGGCCATCTCGGGTGTCTTGGAAAGATCTTGCGGCGACCCATGCATGGGCCTTTCGGACGGTTTCGGGCGCGTCTCGGGACTCTCTTGGGGCGTTCTTGGGGCGCTCTGGAAAGTCTGGAAGGCAGCGCCGAGGAGGAAAACCATCTCTGGGGCCCACTTGGCCGGGACCTGCTCGGGGTTCTTTTCGCCCGGGGGGCCCCAGGGGCCGCCCCGCGCGCGCGCGAACTAGAAAACTATGAACCAGTTACCGGAGATCTTAGCACGCCTCTGGCCCGTTGGGCTGGCGAATTGCCAGGCGGGATTTGGACCGTCAAGCTGGGATTTGAGCCTTCCAGTTGGGATCTGGATCTTTCTCATCATGGGCGTGGTGGCGATTTTCTTGTCGCTGTCATCTCCCGGCCTTTTTGCCCTAATCCTTCGCGTCCCGTCCAACTCCAACGCCCCCACTGGCGGAACCATTTTCGGAGGGCCCCGTGGGCTTCCCAAGAGCGCAGGTTCGCGAGTCATTTTGGCTAGTCTACACCCGTTGGTTGCGCCCCTGAACTGGGGCGGGAAGTGAGCGCGCACCATTCACGCAGCGGGAGGAGGCGCGTGATTGGTACGCGCGTGGCGCGCGCCAGATTACCTTGACAGCATGGGCCCCCCGCGCCTTCAGGTTGAGTCCGCCCGACCGCCCTTGGTCCGTCCTCAAGGTGTTCCGACAGGGACGGCCGCACCTATATTTCCGCCGAAAAACAGGATAGGAAAGCACGAGCGATGGAAACGACGAGCACGCACACTTCGACGACCGAAAGACAGCACACGTGCAGGCGTGCTACCGTGCATCGTCAGAGGCCAGGAGGGTGCAGGGGTCACCCACCCAGTCGCCCGAGAGGGGATCTCTGCCGGCCTCGAGAGCCAGGTTCCGGCAGGGAGGCACCCGCTCAGGGGAGGGAGGCGTGGACCCCCGGTCACCCATGCTTCGCCGACTGGGGCCCGGCCCGAACGTGCGGCTCTGCTAGCGGGGGCCCGTCGCCGACTTGCCTGCGGTGCACGGCCAGTCCCATGAAGTCTCTCACCCCGCGAGCCAGCCCTGCCCCCCTCCTCGTCTCCCCCCGGGCGTGGGCCCCGACGGAATGTGCGGGGGCCCGCGACCTGGGCGCAGAGGGGCGCGCTCTGGACCGAGCAGACGGCAGGGGCCCCGCGCCATTCGGGCTGAGTCCGCAGCAGCCGCAGCCGCGTCGGCGGCGTCGGCGTCGTCCGTCGTCCGTCGCCCATCGTTCGCCCGTCGCCCGTCGTCGTCGTCGTCGTCGTCGTCGTCGTCGTCGTCGTCGTCGTCGTCCCCTCCCCCCCGTCCCCCCTCCCAAGAACTTCGATTTTCGAGGCTCGATCAGACCTTCCTCTGGGCCGTTGGATCGCTCCCCGAAGCTCGGCCCCCGAAGCTCCGATCACTTCGTTCCGAAAGGCGGATCCCCGAGGCTCGAGCCTCGAACGTCCATCCTCGAGGCTCGATCCCCCCCCGCAGCTGGGCCGCGGTATCCATTCTCGAAGCTCGATTCTCGAAGCCTCGATCACCCCTCCGACACTGGTTTCCCGAACCGCGAGCGCCGATCCTCGAGTCTCCCTACCCCCTCCGGTGGGCCTCAGGAGGCTGCGACGCCCCTGGCGCCGCCGCTGCGGAGACGGGCGCGGGCGCAGGCTGGCAGGGCAGCTTTCGTTCGCGGCGGCGTCGGCAGCGTCGCCGTCGTCGCCGTTGTCGTCGTCGTGGTCGTCGTGGCCGTCGTCGTCGTCGTCGTCGTCGTCGTCGTCGTCGTCGTCGTCACCGTCGTTCTCTCCGACTTGTTCCCCTTTTTCTCCCAAACTGTGCTTGCACTTAAGGCTTCTTATTTTCTCCAATCTGTGTTTGCTCTTACTACGCTCTCCGGAACTGGGCCTGGCCGCCGCCTGGGCCGGTTTGTCGCCGCCCGTCGCCGCCCGTCCTCTGGGCCTGGCTGCCGCCGTCGCCGTCTCGTCGCCGCCCGTCGCCGCCCGTCGATTGTGCCTGGTTGCCCCCGTTGCCGCCTCGTCGCCGCCCGTCGTTCGGTTTGGTTGCTGGCTCCGCCGCCGCATGGCCACCACGTAGATTGCACCACATCCATTATTCTTTGTTTGGAAAATATTCAATGTTATCCATCCCCGGATTTAACCGCCTCCTTTTTCATATTGCAACTTATTTGCGATTTTGCCCCACCGTCCATCTTGATTATGAATTCCCACCATCCCAGCCAAACCGGTCCCCCTTCATCCTCTGGAACGCATACTATGCGCGCGCATTCGTTTATCAAAAAAATTGTTTTCAATAGTACCTTGCACAAAAACACACACACACACACACTCACACACACACACACACACACACACACACACACACACACACACACACACACACACACACACACACACACACACACACACACACACACGCACACACCCACAAAAGAAAACGGGACGAATTGCACACGCGCGCGTCGTCGCGCGCGCAAGCCGAAATCTTTCAACTGTATTCGGTTTCGTAAGGATTTCAAAGTCGACTGTCCCGCAAACGTTAAAACATTGTTTCGCAAACCGAATTTTCAAAACAAGTTTGCGCTCGCGCGTTCGCGAATTCTTAAGAAGACCGTGCGTTTTTTCATTGTTATTATTATATATATGTTTTTGTTTCTCAACATGTTCACAACATGCTACCACATGGGCCTTTCGCGCGCGCATGTCGAAATCGTTCGAGCGCCCTGGCGCGCGTGTTGTCGCAAGAATCCCTTGCGAAAGAACGGGAGCAACTTGGTGAGCCGAACCCACGCGGCGGCGATTGCGATGAGTGCTTGGCGTTGGCTGGTGCATCTCTGCGGCCGCGATAGCCCGCGCGTGCTCGCGCGCGCAGCGGCAAGCTAGCTTGGCGCGACCGACGCGGCCGCGGTGGTGCCGATCTCCGGGCACTTCCCAGCGGGCGTTTCGGTGCGAGTCGGCCGCTTGGGCGGGCGTTATATGAGACGGATCGTGCCCCCCAGCACGCGCGCAAAAGCGTTCGAATGATGTCGACATGCAGCGCGAGGGGGCCCATTTGGCAGAATTTAATGAAAATGGTGAATAACCGAAAGTTCTCTTGAGAATTCGCAAGAGCGCGAGCGCTTTGATGCTGTTGTTGTTGTTTTTTTGGGGGGGAACTGATGTTGCAAAACCATGTGCGTTCATGTAATGATGTTTTCGGGGTGCCCGGTTTTGAAGCCCGTGCGAAACTTCAGATTTCTGAGCGATGCTCTTGCGCGCGCGCGACGACGCGCGCGCGTGCACTTCGGGTGGGTGGGTGGGGCATTTCGAGTTCTTTCAGCGAGTTCTCCTGTCTAAAGGAGCAATAAAATTTGCCCCCCCCCCCCCCCCCCCGCCCACCTCCGGCTTAACGGGCAATTTTTCAACATTGCAATGTGCTTGGGGTTTCAGCCCCATCGTTCATCCTACATGCGAATTGGCGCCGCACTGGGGAGGACGGCGTCGCCCCCCCCCCCCCCCCCGCCTCATCTTTTGCAAAAGATACGATGCGCGCGCACTCACTGTTCGCAACCCATAGGCTTGCAAGAACCCCGTGCTCACATGCGACGAAGTCACGCGCGCGAGTCGTCGCGCGCGCGCTGGAAAGCGTTTTAAAAGCGCGGTCTCGCAAGGACGTCAAAGTCGAGCGCCCCGGAAACATATCAGAAATAAGTACGGGGTAAGAATTTACAAAACAAGGTTTGCGCTTGGGCTCGCGCGAATGCCCAGGGCAATCATCAGTTTCCAACATAGTTTTCGTAACTTGCTACCGAGCGGGCCCCTCGCGCGCGCGCCAGATTCGCCCCGAACGCTTTCGCGCGCGCGTTGTCGCAAGGATCCCTCGCGCAAAATGCGGCGAAGCGCGCGCGTCGTCGCGCGCGCGAGGGCGTCGCTTAAAAGCGCCAGGTTGCGCGCGTAATTCAAAGCCGAGCGCCCCGAAAGCATGAAACGCACATGACTGTTCCACGCAAGGTTTGCCGCAAAGCTCGCGCTCGCGCTTCGGTGAATTCTCTGGAGATCCATTCGTTTTTTCGACGTTTCCATTAATTCTGCCGAGCGGTCGAAATCCTTCGAGCGCCCTCGCGCGCGCGTTGGAGGGGAAGGGGGGGGGGGGGCGGGGGCGCGATCCGCAACAAATGACGCCGCGCGGGCCACCCTCGCGCGTCGGCCGTGCGCGCGTCAAATTCTTTCCATGACCTTCATCGCCGACGCGAGGGCGCCGCCGCCGTCGTCGGCTCCATCGGCATCGGCGCCGTCGCTGGCCGCGTTGTCGTCGTTACCATCGCCGTCAGCACTGTTATTGTCGCCCTCGCGCCCACCGCCGTCGACGCCGCCGCGACGCCGCGTCCGCCCCGGCGGCCGACTCGCGCCGAAGCGCCCGCTGGGAGCGCCCGGCGGTCAGCTCCGCCGCGGCCGCGTCGGTCGCGCCAAACTAGCTTGCCGCCGCGCGCGCGAGCACGCGCGGGCAAGTGAGGCCGTGGGGATGCACCAACCAACGCCAAGCACTCACTGCAATCGCCGCCGCGTGAGTTTACGCCGAGCATGTGGCGGGCGGGCGGGGTGGTTGCGCGAGGAGTGGAGTTTGCCACTCACTACGGACAGTTAATATCTATCTTTTCGAATGGAACATTGGATCTACCTCCCCCCTCGGGGTAGACGGGCTACCCTCCTCGCGCTGCAATCCACGTTTGATTCCGCCCGACCCCCCATCAAAAAGACGACCGCATGCCGCCCCGGCCGGGCCGCCCCCCCCCCCCCCCCTCACCCTGCGCAAGACATAGCATGCTCGCGCATTTGGTTTCGCAGCGAGGGCTTGCAAAAGAACGCTCGCGCCCGCGCTCTCGCGAACTATGAACACACAATAGGTTTTCAACGTGTTCACGACGCGCTTCTCGCGCGCGCGTCGGAAGCGCTCGAGCGTCTTCGCGCGCGCGTGCTGTCGCGAGAACCCCATGCGACAGACTGGGGCGAAGTGCGCGCGCGCGTCGTCGCGCGCGCACGCCGAAAAGCCAAAAACCACGGGCTTCGCGAGAATCGTAAAAAACGAGCGCCCCGAACACACATCAAAACAATTTGCAGCGCCAGTTCGCCCAAAAATCAGGCGCTCGCGGTCTTGCGGACCCCGAAGAAAACCATCGGCTTTCCGACTTCTCATCAATCCTGCCAAACGGGCCTCTTGCGCCGCGCGTCGAAGAGATTCGGGCGCCTGTGCGCGCGTGCAGGGCGGGGGGGGGGGCGCGTTCCGCATCGAATAATGCCGCGCGGGCCACTCGCGCGCGCCGGCCGCGCGCGCGCGTCGAGCTCCGCCAAAAGCATTCGTCGCCGACGCGAGGACATCGTCATCGTCATCGGCGGGCGTGATCAACATCGGCGCCGCCATCGTCGTTGCCGCCGTCATCGCCACCGTCGCCGCGACCGTCGCCACTCTGATGATCGAGTCTACTGAGTCGTCGGCCTCGCCGCGATGCCGCGCCCGCCCAGGTCGCCGACTCGCGCTGAAGTGCCCGATGGGAAGTGCCCGGCCGTCAGCGCCGCCGCGGCCACGTCGGTCGCGCCAAACTAGCAGGCCGCCGCGCGCGAGCGCGCGCGGGCAAGCGCGGCCGCGGAGAGGCGCCAGCCAGCGCCGGGTACACATCGCAATCGCCGCCGCGCAGGTTCTGCAAGCCAAGTTGCGGGTGGCTGGGTGGGATGTTTGCTCGGGCATGGAAGGTGCCAATTCATTTGTAAAACATGAGTTGAGAATAGATTCCGTCACCCGCCCGAGCCCAGACTAATCGTTACCCCCTGGGGATGTGCAGTTTACGTGCGATGCCCCCCCCATCGTCCATCCTGTATGTGTAAATATATACATATATATATGTACATATACCTATATATCTGTATATATGTATAGATGTAACATAGTATCCCAGCCGAGCCGCCCCCCCCCCCCCCCCCATCATCTTTGGCCAACAAAAGATGCGCGCATACTCGTTTATGAAAACTTGCTGTTTGCGTGGACCTTGTGCCAAACATGTGGCGAGATGTACGCGGGCGTCGTCGTCGCGCGCGCGTGCCGAAATCCATCTAAAATCATATGTTATGTAAGGGTATCAAAACCGAGTGTCAGAATCACACATATATATATATACAACAGCACTTGATTTCGCAGCGCGGATTCTCAGACATCCCGCTGCAAAGCATGGGGCGAAGTGCACGCGCGCGCATGCCGGAATCCTTCGACAATCTCAGGTTTCGGAAGGATTTCAAAACCGAGTGTCCTGAAACCAAATAGGAACATGTGTTTTCGCAACAGCTGTTTGTTATACAATTAACTTGCGCTGGGCGCCCCAGCGAATATTTGAGAGAACCGTGGGCGCGTCTAAATTTTAATGGAGTTATGCCATGCGGGCCTCTCGCGCCGCATGCCGAAAGCATCCGACCGCCCTTGCGCGCGCGCCGGGGGGGCACTGTCCGCGTCAAATGATACCGCGCGGGCCACTCGCGCGAGCCCGCGCGCGCGTGTCGAACTGCTTTCAAAATCTTCATCGCCGACGCCATCGTCGTCGGCGCGAGCAACATCGGCGCCGTCACTGACCGCGCCGTCGTCGCTGTCAACCTCATCGCCAGACTCGCTGCCATCATCGTCGCGTCCA